GATCCTGTCGATCGTGATCTTATCTCTGAAGTTATTTGTCAGTGTTTGAACTATCCTTCTTTGGTTGGTTTTGAGATCTCAGCATCTAGCTTCAATTGTCTCCTATATTTCCTGGTTAGTTCGCTTTCTCTCTTCTTGAATATATATTTTCTTTAGGATTGATTTGGTGAAATGCATTTGTTCCATGATGTGTGTTATATTATTGTCGGTTGTATATGTATTGAGAGTCTCTAATGTTAAGCTGCTTGTGGATTATCTGCTACTATTTCCAAAGCCTTGGATATTCAAGTGTTAAGTTGTTATATTGAGGAAAAAAATATTGATGCCGGGTTCTTAATTTTGAATTTTTTTATAATATTGTAAAGGTTTTTGTATACTTTGGTTAGGTTCTTTTCTTTGGCAAACTTTGTTATGTTGCAAGTACTTGTATGTTTCCTGAAACCTTTCTTTTTCCAGTAAAGATTATTGAATGCTGTGGCAATTACTGTCTTTTTAAAGTCTTTCCAAATTTCTTGGATCTGTGTTAAGTTCTCTACTGCTTGTGTGTTAAAGTGCTGCTAGCCTTTCGGAGAGTTTGATTTTGGTGATCCTATTGTCGACCTTGGATTTGTATTTGTTCCATTGCTCATTAGTGATTTTGTTGACATCGATTATCTTTTTATATTTTGATTTGACTTTGGTATATTGTATTGCAGGGTTGTAGGTATATGAAGAAGTATACCTTTAGTTATTTTAAAGTCTAGCAAAGTATGATCACTATTTATAACTTCAACGAAGCTACGGTTCTGCAGTTGAAGTATATTATTTGCTATTGCTATTAAGCACCAGACATAGTTTATTCTACTTGAGCTTGCACTATTTTTCCAGATATGAGAGGGTTTCGGTTTTTTCCAGAGTTGGTGAAGATCCACAAGATTCAAATTTGAGAGATGGTTGAATATTGGGGCTTCTGGATTGTCTGGAAGAGAGAAGTTATTGTTTGATTTGATGCTTACACAGTCCTGTCTGGAATTGAGTACTGTATTGAAATCTCCCATTACTATGATCTGATAGTGCTATTGAATTTTGTTTTATATTAATGTTTGGATTTTTCTCTGAATGTTGATACTTTTTTGTTTGTTGCAGGGGAGATATATTTGGGTTACCCATGTTTTGTGCTTTTTGCTGAGAAGGTTGATTGCTACTAGGTGACCCTCAATCTTGTCTACTTGTGCAATATACTTTTCTATCTCTTTATATACTAGTAGAAGTACTCCTGCATCTCTTGGGTTATTAGAGCAAGAATTACAAAAGCATTTGTATTTATCTTTACTATTGCTAAATACAAATGCTTGATTGTTGATAGTGAGTTTAGTTTCATTAAGTCCAAGGATATCGATTCTTTTGTCCTATATCTCTTGGATTAGCATTTCTTGGTCTATTGTTCTTATGATACTCCTAATGTTATGAGTTTTTAAGTGTATATTGTCACTTAGGAAGGACTTTTTTTGTTCTGTAAGAAAGGTATTGATTTCATTGCTAGTTGGAAAGTTGGTTGTGTTTTTGGGTTGGTCTGAGTTGTCGTTATCTGTAATATGTTGTATGAGTTGATTGAATACTGAAGGGGAAGCTTGAATAATTCACTCTTTCCAGCATTTGTTATTGATTCGACTGGGGTGTTTTTAGGAGGAGTAATGAGACTTTTTGTTATTACTCCTTCTATTCTCAAGTTTTGTTAGTCTTGAGTTGATAATGTCTAACATGTTGATGACTTTGGTCCATGGGTCCATCTTAACCGGTCTCTTCTCTTGTTTCCTTGTGTTTATGGATTGTTTCTCTTTCTTTCTTTTGTTCTCTTGCCTATAGTTTGTCGAGAGCTCTTCTTCTTCTTCTGCTTTCATAAAGCTGGTAGAAGATAATGGCATGTCTATTTATTAGTCTAGTCTAAGGAAGTTTCCTTTCTTCTTTTCATGTGAACATAAGAGCTTTCCTAAAGTATATTCTCCTATATACACATCTTTGTATTGTCTCTAGTGCTCCACCAGGTTTTGCTTCCAAACAGTTCCACATGTGATGTTAATATCCTGTTTAAGTTTTCCTGGCTCTCAAATCCAAGAATAATAAAGTTTTTCCTTTTTCCTGTTACACTTATGATTCTGGATGCTGAGGTGGATTTTTCAATTCCATAAAGTTTTGTAATTATTTTGTTATATTCTGTCAGCATTTCTTGGTAAATTAAAACACCAATATATACTTTTTATATATTTTATATTATAAAATTATTAATATAATTAAATAAAACAAAAAAGTAAAGTGTCAAGATATTATTTTATTAAGAAATAATTTAAAATCTTTTTTTATATATTTTGTATTAATTTTCTTTTTTTTTTAAATTAAAAAAGATTTTTATTAGACTAATAATTAATTTAGAAGAGTTTTTATTTATCAGTATAAATTTTTTTTTTTTTTTTTATTTTTTATTTCTTTGAATTACAATAGTTATATTGAAATATATAAAAATCTTAAAGAAATTATTAGTAACTTTAAAAAAATAGTGAACTTTAATATTTTAATTTAAATGTCTATAGAAGTTGAAACTTTATTAAAATCAAAAAAACATTTTTTTATATATAGTAGATGACAAAAAAATCTGGACTTTTTTTTATTATATAAAAAATTTTTTTAATTTTATTTATTTAAAAAAATTTTTATAAAAACAATTTTAAATATAGTAAAAATATAAGTATATAAATTTTAGTAATTTATTTTTTGCTCTTTTTGTAAAATGACCTCATTAATACGATTTTTTATACTATTTGACAATATAAGATAAAGATTGCAATTCAAATCCTTCTATTCTTTTTCAATTATTGTTTTAAATTCATCAACTGTAAGTTTTTTTTTTTTCATTATCCAGATTCCAACACTTTTTTCGATATTTCTTTTTATTATAGTTCACAAATTCTTGATTGGATTTAGGTCGGGTAAATTAGAGGACCAATTGATTGTTTTAATATTGTGAGTTTCGAGAAGATCTTGTGTAATTTGGGCCATATGAACTGGTGAATTGTCTTGTTGAAAGTATAACCTGTTATTTATATTTGGAAAAAGGTTGGCCTTGAGAATTTCATAATATCTTTTAAAATTTAGATTGTTTATAAATAAAACTAAAGAAATTGGTTCTTGTGCCATGAATGTATCCCAAGCATGAATTTTGTAAGGGTGTTTAACCATACTTTGGCATGGATGTGGATCTGTACGATGATGTCGGACTAATTGAGTATTATGAAACATCTGAAAAGTTATTTCGTTAGAAAAAATAGTGATGGACCAAGTATTATTTGTATGATTTAAGGCTTATTTAAGACATTTGTCAATATGAACAAGACGAAGAAGAGGAATCTGTCGTGACCGACAAATTACATATTAAAGATAATTTTTAAGAATACATTGGATAGTATGCTTTGTTATATTTAAGTTGAAATAGTTTTTATTAAGTTTGACAAGTATTTCTGTAGCAGTGATTGAATTATTGTTTTTTATAAGTTGTCCAAAATAATGTCATTTTTGAACATCAAGAATTTTTGATCTTTCAGGAATAGAGCAAGAGATAAGGGTGCTGTTTTTTTTAAGTCTACTTACAAGATCATATATCATAGACTTGGGAAAACCGGTTATTCGCATAATTTCGGCAGGTTTCTTAATGTTATTAAATCAAAGTTGGCTTACGATTATTCTTTGTGTAGCAGGATCAGTTTTAGAAGACATTTTTTATGACTAGTATTAAATTAATAAAAAAAAAAAACTTTTTATTTATATAATTTTAATTATACAAATATAATGATAAATAATAAAAAAAATAACGCGTTTTGTACAATAAATTAAAAGTCCGAATCTTTTTGTCGCTATATATTAACTTTATACAATGTAAAAATACATATATTTATATTGGACTTAATCTCTAGAGACATATGTACTGTACTTAATTAATATAAAGAAATGAAAAAGTAAGGGTCAACCCTTTTCAACAACCTTCGGAATTCATGGGCGTACGCTTACATTTTCTCATTATCCTTTTGTTTCAGACAACGCAGATCCACTCGCCATTGATAATGCAGAAAGTTCGGTACGAAGCATTTTTCGCGCATATTAATACTTCAAGAAGGTGAGACATTCCTAATGGTGCCTGTACCAACCTACCGCGAAGCCTCTTAATAGTTACCACCCTTTTTTTTCGTCTGTCCAGCCGTTAGCTTGGTAGTTTTTTCTTAGCGCTTCAGCCACGAGCGTTCAATGTTATTGTTCTCACTAGTCCATTGCTAACACAGAATCTTTACTCGCACAACAGTAGGGGGTAAGGTAAGGTTCCCGTTAATAATAGAGGCGTGTACGACTTGATCGATGGTCCTTTATTAATATAACTTCTTTCATAAACATGTCTCCCAGACCACGGTGCAGTTTTTCTTTCGGCATTACTGAAGCGTTAATTTCTCTTTAAGGCTAGTATTTATTAAGCAGCGTAAATAGAAATTTATTACAAGATTTAGTTACAATCGAACTAATCTATTGTATTTCTATTTATATTAGCCGCAATGCGTTCCAACTTTCTATCGCCGCGTCATGTAAAATCCATCAAACTTTGATGCATAACTAATGCATGAGGTGGCACCGCATCATGCATCGGTCATCCATAACGTTATCCACACGTTCGTGCTGCCATCTGACGACGAACGATGTTGGAAGTGAAGGGGAGATCATGCGGTCATCTGACGGTGATCTTCTCGACACAATTATCTTCTAGAGATTTTCCACATGTTCGTGCGGTCATCTGACGACGAACGATGTTGGAAGTGAAGGGAAAACCATGCGGTCATCTGACGGTGGTTTTCTCGACACAATCATCGATGCTGGAAGTGTGAAGGGGAGATCATGCGGTCATCTGACGGTGGTCTTCTTGACACAATTATCTTCTAGAGATTTTCCACACGTTCGTGCGGTCATCTGACGACGAACGATGTTGGAAGTGAAGGGGAGATCATGCGGTCATCTGACGGTGATCTTCTCGACACTATTATCTTCTAGAGATTTTCCACACGTTCGTGCGGTCATCTGACGACGAACGATGTAGGAAGTGAAGGGGAGATCATGCGGTCATCTGACGGTGATCTTCTCGACACAATTATCTAGAAATTTTCCACACGTTCGTGCGGTCATCTGACGACGAACGATGTTGGAAGTGAAGGGAAGACCATGCGGTCATCTGACGGTGGTTTTCTCGACACAATCATCGATGCTGGAAGTGTGAAGGGGAGATCATGCGGTCA